GCACCACCAAATCTCCCAGAACAACCAACCAGAGAAGACCGAGCAGCCCACTGGAGTATCATACAGAATATAGGAACTTCAGAGCTGGTCTCCAACCCGGTGGCAACAGAATTCTTCCGTAGGAACTGCCAAAAGGGTGCAACCATAGAACGAGGTATGGTGGGCCAACCAGATCCCAACTCGTAGATAGCGCTACACCATTGGGAAGGGGTGTGCACCGTCACAACCAAACCAAATCTAAGTACAGTACAAGAATTCTACAGCAATCTTAGAGGATACCCAGGGGGTGAAATCACTGTGAGAGGCCAAATTGTCAATATCAGCATAGAAGCTATCAGAGACATATTTCACCTTCCAGAGGTCGATTTCAATTATGTAGATGGCGCCTATCAAGCAATGGATCATATCCTGGAAGAGGAATTGCCATATGCATTATGCTCTAATCCAGCAGATGTACAGTGGACAAAGCGCAATGACATCCTCCAGCACTTTCCATCTTCAAATCTGAAGCCAGAGTATAAACAGTGGTACAATATGATGGCCCTCATGCTCTTTGCCCTAGTACTCAACATCCCCATTGATGTAGCTGAAGTGATTAGACAATAGATGACTATCTGTGTCACCAATCCAAGGGAGTAAGAATGGTTCTTTCTAGTGCGGGCAACAAGGTTGATACAGAGAGCAAATGTGCAGTTCTTTCACATAGATGTCATAGAAGAAATCCGACCTCCATGGCAGTTAGAAGGACCTCCGCATCCATTCATGAACGCTTGATCAACCAGGTCAGTACCCTGTTTCAAGTTTCAGCAAATTTTAGTTCCTCTTATTTGTAGTTATTTGAATTCTGCTTTAGAAAATCAATTTATGGATGTCAACATATTATGAATTGTCAGGGCATAACAAAGTAGGGACTTGTTTTTGTCCTGCAAGGTGTTGAACTAGTCAGCCTTACCAGAACAGTGCAATATTGCATATGGGGCAGATCGAAGAAGAAAACAACCCAAACCTCATTATGCCCCCTAATTTAGTAATTGTATTAATGGTTGATATATCTTTCACCGGAAATTGTTCATTTAGCCATTGTAGTATGACTGTTATGGCCTGATTCCTCTACCTAATTTACTCTGTTTTATATGTGGCATCTTGTTTGTAATTGTATTGATATAACTAAACTGTCACAAAGTCCCATAACTGCAGGAACTTATGTATCTTAATTAGGGAAAAATGAAAAAAATGGATAAGATAAACATTTGGAATTCATAATCATAACACAGTGATTTCTGCTAAGCAGGCCAATTGCACATTTCTATATTCAGGTGGGGATAACCACTTCATTATTTTCGAGATTGGTACGGGCTTGAGTTCAAATTTGCTGCACTTATACAATCTAGAGGTTTCTCAACTCTCGAGATTAGCTTTTTCTGAATATCTTTTTCTGCCTATTAAAGTAAAATCAATCACCCACTCCAGACAAACTTTAATATGGAGTGACACACTCAAATAATACAATAAAGAACCCACCCGAAATTCAACTTGAAATGGATATGCCTCCACAAAGTTTGCAACATTTTCTGATATAAATAGATGCTCTAAAAGTTTGCAACATTTTCTGATATAGATAGATGCTATAGATATGACCATATATGCCTACCAGGTTCCATAATGAAATTGAATCTGTGTGAAAAATTGTGAATTATTATTGGAATAGAATAAAACGAACAAGCATAAATTCATTTTAACCATCTCACCCAGAACGACATCAATAATTTCCTCCTGGTATGCAAACGTCTTCATAAGTAATACATTGTTTGGCTGATATATGCAAATTTAGAAGCTATAAAATAATTGGCTAAAATACACAGTGGCAACATCTTACCGAATTCTTTGTTGTCTTTTGTTTCGAGTCATCAACCAACAAAGTACTTGAAGCATTAAAATCTCCCAATCCATTTTCCTTCAAATATCTCCACAATTTTTCCAACTCTTTATGGTGGATCGGGTCTGTCACGGGACCTTCTGTAGAGCAAAGCTCTTGGTCCTATACCAAACCAACATTAGTCCCTAATCACTGATGACACATTAACACTTTTATTCAAAACCCTCTCATAAAACTAACTTATAACCAAAAATATGAATTTGTTCTTGACTTTCCAAAATAAGCCATCAATAATGGAATTTAAATTATTCCTGCAAATAAGTCAATGAAATAAAGTGAATAATTTAATATCACAAAGTCCGTACAACAAAAACAGAAAAGGAAACTGAGCTTCAGGAATAATACCTCTTTCTTGAGGATCAGATACCAACTAGAAAGTGATCGAAACAGAACTGAAGGAACTGGTCACAAAACCCTCTCTTGAAAACTGAAACAGAAAAATATGGAACAAAGTTAACTAAACTTCTCAGCTTCACATGAAAATATCATACCGTGATGTTCAACTATAAGTTTACAAGAAAATAGGTTGTCGGAATAATCCGCTAACGCCCAAAATTTATCAGACCTCTGCTGGTTGTGCCGGGTTACATCAACGAGGACTCCATTCAGATCAAGCACTAGAAATTCTTTCGTGATTGCTCTTCCCTTAAACTGCCTACTCGAAACACATCTTCCACGCACACTCTCCCTTCCCTACTTGTCGTTAATCCTTTGTCAACATAATCTTCCAACTTTTTCTGCCGTTTCAATTGCACAATCCAATCTTGATCTTCCAGCTCATCTCGCAGTGTCACTACATTCCTTCCCAACCCTTTTTTTCCCCAAAGTATGAAATAATTTTTACATCCATTACCTTTCACGGTAGGAACAAATCTTATTTGCTATAGGCTTTCAAACATAATTTACCCTCAAACCAAGAGCGCATCCTTTCACTAACTGCAGGGCTAATGTCAATCTGATGTTCTCCTAAATAAGGAAGATGATACATCAGGACACTAGCCAGTTCCCAATGTTGTTGATCTTTGCAATAATCCGGCGCACATTGTTGTAAACAACCATAAGGGTACGGATCAATATCTTCCTATGACACAATAATATTGATTTACTTCCAAAATTTAAACACATCTACAAAATACTAAAAGAATATGAATGAAAATCTTACAACTGTCATCGATCGAATAATTTCCTCGACAGCTTCCCGACTGAAACGAATATTTCCCATCACTTTCCCTAACTTTTGAGCCCATTGACCCATTAATAGGAATTCTTTATGCCAATCCTCAAGTTTCATATCGAACAGCCTCCTCAACTTTGGTATGTACTCCAATGCAAAAACCTAAACAAAACAATCATGGAACACGATAATAAAATTAAATTTGAAATCTTTAGGACAAACTTGCTGAAAATACAACCAATTTAATCTAATTGAAGAATTTCATCATGACTCACTGTCAATGCAGAAACAGAACCACCAAGATTTCTCTTTTGATCATTTCTGTAGCGGCTCAAACTATCATGAATTTCAATGAGACATGCTTAACCCCAAGAATAGTTTTTTATTTTGTCTATTTGTTTCACAAAATTCCCATATATAGGTGACACATAACCAGCAGTAGAATTGGGAAAGACAAAGCTGTAGGCCTGACTCTGATGTTAAGAGAATAATCTCCACATCGAGCTAAATCTTTTAACACTTTTAAACTTAACCCTTAGTCTTAACATACAAATCATACAATTTACCCTTAATATAGACACTTTCGCAATTAGGAAATATTTCCTTTGCAATTTGTTCACCACGAGCTTCTACGGTCAACACCGGTTTAACAACAATTGGTAATCCCGTAATATGTAAAACATCTCACAAACCAAAGTATAAAACACAAGATTGATCCTTTCCAAGATTAAAAGTACAAGTTTCTGGATTATAATAATCAGCTAAAATGGCAAGTAATATTTTCGAATGAATAAAGGGATGCTCTATTAACTTCAAAAGATTCTCCAAACCGCTCCCTTTCAAAATACTCATAACATCCTCTTTCTCAACAAAACCCTTCGGATCGTGAGAACGCTTGTACAAATTAACTCTACCATCATTAGAAGAAGCCACCATCTTTCACCCCCTACAGTACAAGCAACAGCAAAACAATCGAATCACAAATAAACACACGAAACCCACAACTTAAAATCATGCCGAAACTAGCAATACATATATGGACGGATGGAATTAATGCATTACTTGAGGCAATTAGCAACAGTTAGGTTCGGTTCTGACTGAAATTGGTGGTTGATTTGGGAACTCTGTCACCGGGATGTGAATGAATGGAAACAATTTCCACTGACACGAACCCGATCCCGACTGCTATTCAAAGTTCAAACACAGTAAAGTTTGACTTATAACTACCCCCTTCCCGACTACTATTTACAAAACGAGCACTGACCCCGCGTTTAAGAACCCTGATTCCGCTCTTAAGAACCCTAACGCCGACTTCCGTAGTATTTCTAATTAGTAATTTTTTTTTGGTTGAACAGAAGTTCTTTTTTAAATCACATAGTATCCCTTTCCTATTTCTAATATGTAGTTTGAATATACACATGGAATAATTTAAATCGGATAATTATTATAATTATGAATTTTATTGATAATATTCAAAATAGTTCACATTTATAAATTTATTTATTTATGGGCTATTTTATGAATAATACATAATCTATTAGAAGTGAAAATAATACTATAGGAACAAAATTGCCGCAGTCTTTTTATTTTATGAATGTATTATCCCACTTACTTAAATTCTCTGCGAAACCCTTTCTGCGCAAAGCACCTTCACTGCGTTCGCTAGGGTTCGGCCACTATGGCCGGATCTCGTCCACCGGCGGTGACTCATACGCATCCGAAATCCTTGGCCAGTTTCTTTCAGAAACCGGCCGATGTGTCTAAGACCTCTTTGATCAAGGAAGTCAAGTTGGCACTCCTACTTTGGAGTTAGAAGATGAGGAATTTGAACAACTAATTGCCCCTCATCGGTTAAGCCTCGTCGGGAAATTTTCTTATGGTAGGCCGAAAATGGAGGCGATTCACGCCGAATTCAAGAAGATCGCATTCATTGGTGCATACACTCTAGGTTTGATGAATCCTAGACATGTATTGATTCGGTTTGAAATGGAGGAGGACTATAAAAAATGTTGGATTCGAACATTTTGGAATATTGGTGGTTTCTCAATGCGAATGTTGAAGTGGATGCCCGGATTCAGATTTGAGGAAGATCCCCCGGTTGTGCCAATATGGGTTGCTCTCTATGATCTTCCTATCGAATTCATGCACCCGGAAGTGATTTACTCGATGGCTACAGCCCTTGGACAACCCTTGAAAGTGGACACTCCGACATTGAATATAACCCGTCCCTTGGTTGCTAGATTCTGCGTGGAGGTGGATCTTACCAAGGATTTGCCAAAATCCGTAAAGGTGGGCAAAAAGGGTCGTAGCATGAACAAGTCTTCGCATTCGAGCATATTCCATCGTATTGCTTGAAATGTTGCAAAATTGGCCATAAGGACATTGATTGTAGAGTTGGTAAACCCACGGTGCGAGTGAATGAGTCGGACAAGATTGATGTTCCATAGAAAAAGGAAATCAAAATCAAGTCGGCGAAGCCCAAATGGACATTGAAAGGAGATCCTAAAAGTAGACTGGAAGCTCAAATAGTTAGTTTGAATCCCTTGGTGGTCAAAGGGGTGGAAAAGGAAGCAACGATGGTGACGGAGATAGTGGAAAGCCAGCCATCCCCGGTTAGAACTGAAGCCGTCTGCGTTCATGCGCCACCTCTTGTTCAATCAGGAAATCGATTTTCGATTCTCCATGCTGCGGAGGATGATGACGTCGAAGAGGAGATGGTGAATGTCCATTCTGATGTTCATACGCAAAGTCAGGAAGAACAAGACGATATTGGTACTACATTGATTGATGGTAAGTTGGATTTAGACAAGAATAGATCTTTACTTGAAGTTGAGCTGCGAAATATGTCTTTGGTTCCACAACTGGATCCCATTCGATCTAATGATGATTCATCTGTGAATGAAATCCATAATACTGAGGCGGTTCATGACAAGAGAGAGTTATGGTCTGATGGAGAGATTCATGATGATCACATTGTTGAAAACGACCAAGGCGAGCGCACTGTCACCAAGAAGCAGGGGCGCAAGTCGAAGGAAGAACGTGCTAAACAATCGGAGGGTGTTGAATTAAGGCACTCCCTTCGACATCAGTAGGTTCCAATCTCTCTAAAGTATCCAATGATCAGCGTCGTTTTTTGGAATATTTCGGGAATAAAGAGTCAGGCATCTCACCGTCGTTTGAGGTCCATGATTCAAATTTATAAAGTTTCCTTGTTGATTATACTAGAGCCAATGCTTCCATGACAAAAACTGGAAGAAATAAGAAGAGAGTTGAGGTTTGATATTGCCTTCTCCTCTTCCACAAGTAAAATATGGGTGTTTGGTAGCCGGATTTTCACCATCAATACGATAGAAGATGCATGTCAGTCGCTGCATGTCAGCCGGATTTTCACCGCTTAAAAAAAATTTGTTGTTATCTTCGATATATGCTCAGTCAAATAAAGCCGATAGGAGAACTCTTTGGAATATCTTGGTGACATTCAGAGGTACGCACCCTAACTCTCCTTGGATTGTTGGAGGGGATTGTAATGTTATTCGGTCCTTGGATGAGTATTCGGGTTCGTCGGTGCAAGATTATGGCGCTATTGAAGAGTTTAATAAATGTATTGACGATAGCAAGTTGCTTGATCTTCCTCCCATCGATGATTAGCATACCGGTTGGGTTAGAAAATGATTGGATCGCATCTTGATATCACAAGAATGGTTTAATCTCTTTCCGAAGATTTCGATGGAGCATCTGAGTCGTACAACATCGGATCATTCGCCACTGCTCCTACAATTTGATGTTCAAGTTGAAAGTAGGCCAAGGTGTTTCCGTTTCCAGCAAATGTGGTTAAGGAGGCCGGAATTTAATGAGTTGGTTAAGGAAAATTGGTCTCAGCCTGTCTAGGGTTATGGCATGTTTACGTTTTCTACCAAGCTCCGTCGACTGAAATTAAAGCCAAAGGAATGGAATAAAGAACACTTTGGAGATGTCTTTGCAAATTTCAAAAAGGCTGAAGAGCGGGTGAAGGAATTGGAAATTCTGCATGATCAAACTGGTGATGTAGCGGACCCAATCAACCTTAGCGAGGCCAATGCGATTTATCTCCAAAAGTTGAAGGAGCATGAGGATTTCTGGAAACAAAAGATGAGATTGAAGTGGTTAAAGGAAGGGGACATCAATTCATCCTTTTTTCATGCCACGTTGGCGGAGAAGAATTTAAAATTGGGAATCCATAAAATTCAATCGGAAGATGGAAGAACCTTAACCGAATTAAGGGATATAGAGGCTGAGGCGGTGAATTTTTTCCACACCTTGCTGACTGAGGATCCTGCGCCAATTTCGCAAGTAGAAAAACAAGAAATATTTTGGCACCTACTACATGATGAGCTTGATCTTTTGGACAAAGAAATGTTAAGTGCTGCGGTTACAATGGATGAGGTGCGAGCCGCAGTTTTCAGCCTTGGTGAGGATAGCTCTCCTGGAGTAGATGGCTTTAGAGGGATGTTTTATAGAGCATTTTGGGAAGTTATTGCTGAAGACTTGCTATGCGCATGTTCTGAATTCATGAGTGGAGTGCCGCTTCCAAAAGGTATATCTAGTACCTTAATTACCTTGCTGCCGAAGAAGCATTCTTTTACTACATTTTAAGATTTTAGACCCATCAGTCTTTGTACTTTTCTGAATAAGGTTTTCACTAAAATCTTGACTAAGAGGATGAAGAAAGTTTTGCCAAAAATCATATCGGATGAGCGATCGGCTTTTCTTAAAGGGTGTGACATTATAGATAATGTGGTTTTGGCTCAGGACCTTTGTCAATTTGTTACTCACAAGGCTGTGGGAAATAATGTGATCATCAAGGTCGACATGATAAAAGCTTTTAATCGAGTTTCGTGGAATTTTTTAGAGAAGGTTTTACTTAAGCTAGGGTTTCCGCAGGGGTTTGTTTTGTTGATTATGAATAATCTTCAGTGCAGCTGGTTCTCGGTGATGGTAAACGGCTCTCCAGCAGGATTTTTTAAGGCAACACGTGGTATAAAACAAGGTGATCCGTTGTCACCTTACCTATTTATCCTAGTTGTGGAGGCAATGACTAGGCATCTAAATTTTTTGATGCATGAAGGAAAGCTAGCTGCGTATGCTACTCCAGCTGGGAGCTTGAGGGTGTCAAATTTATCCTTCGTCGATGATTTGGTAATCTTTACTAGAGGAGAAAAGCGATCTCTAAGAACATTGGATGCTTTTTTCAATGATTACAAAATAGCATCAGGCCAAAAGATGAATCGTCAAAAAAGTTTTTCCTTGTTGCGGAGTCTTGTCGGGCGCGAAGGATAGAGATCATCACGGATACCTTGGGGATGCAAAAGGATTCATTTCCTTTTATGTATCTAGGCTGCAAATTATTTCAAGGGAGGAAAAAGGCTTCAATTTTCCAATTCTTATTGGATTTGCTGGATTCTCGGTTGGCTAATTGAAAGAATAAATTGTTAAGTACGGGCGGAAGACTTATTCTTTTGAGACATGTACTTGCTGCCTTACCAATCCATGTGTTTTCCGCTATTAATCCTCCTGCATTGGTCCTCAAGCAAATGGAGAAAAGGTGCGAAAGGTTTTTGTGGCAAGGTTCGAGTGAAGAAAAGAGAAGGCATTGGCACTCTTGGGAACGATTAACATTTCCAACTGAGGAAAATGGTCTAGGGCTGCGCCAATTTATTGATGTTGTGCAAGCTTTTTCCTATAAGCTATGGTGGAAATTTAAGCATCAACATGGATTATGGAGCAAATTTATTTGCTCACTCTCGGATACTGCAAAAAAGAAAACAACTTGGAGTAGGGTTTCAAAAGTTGAGCAAGAGGCAGCAAAAAATTCAAAGGTTTTGGTCCGTGGAGGTGACAGGTTTTTCTGGTTTGATAATTGGATGCCCGATGGCATACTTTGGGATTGCACACATGGTTCTCCTCCAATGCCAACTCTTACTATACGGAATTTTCTTACTAATAAGGACTTGCTCTTAAATGAATTGCATGGGGCGCTTGGAATGCAAAAGGTGCAAATGTTGCGTGACATGGATATCCCCCTCACTGGCGAACCTGATTTGCTTGTTTGGCAGCATTCATCTAGTGGTAACTTTTCAATAAAAGTCGGCATTCCTGAGCCTGAGGAGAAGGAATCCAGTTGATCTGTTGGCTAAGAATTTTTGGCATAAATTGATTCCTCTAAGGGTGTCGTTTTTTGTGTGGAAGCTCAGGAATTTGTTGGTGCCACTTCCAGAGATTTTATCCAGTTTCGGTATCCAGGTTCAGCCCTCTATTTGTTTGTTTTGTAGAATGCATGAAGAGAATATATCCCATTGCCTCTTTGGCTGCCCGGATATCAAATGTATTTGGGTGCATTTTGCTAACCTGTTTGACATTAAAATAGAAGCTAAGGCTACATTGCTGGATTCGTTACAAATGTGGTCGAGTGCAGGTGGCTTTACCTTGGTGAAATAATCTTGATGAGAATCATATAGCCTTCCATGGTGATTCTCCTAGTGAGGGGAATGAACTAGTCCTTCATTCTAATTTTGGAATGCCAAGTTTACTTTGCAGGCCAATCAAGGAAGAAAGGATGGATCTTGACTACCTATGTGATAGGGAGTTGGTTCAAGAGAGCTATGATCAAGGTGATGAGTATGTCATTAACTTTGGGGTTCAAACCAAGGGAGATGATGACCTCATGGAAATAAGTGCTGAAGAGTATCAAGAGAGTTTGACTCTAGGTGCTCCATGAAGATCATTGATCAAACTAGTGAGAAGAGTCATTTAGGTTCTTGAATGGACGGCCTATTTGATCAAAGTGTTCAAGATTGAGTCCATTACTACACAATTGGATAGGTTGCAAACTATCTTAATTGTTTCAAGAGTTTTTCCAATCTTTTGGAGTCAATAAAGAGAATTCTACAAGTTTTGGAGTAAATTGGAGTTTTCTATAACTTAAGGGGTGCAAGACCAATATTCCACTTTTGGAAGGGTGTTCAAGACATTTTACTTCAACAATTTGGGAGCTGATTTTCGAGATTTAGTTATTGTCTAAGTCTAGGAGTTATTGTCGAAAATTTATCTAGTTAGATAAGTCATGTGGGCTGAATAAAACTAGAGTGTTTTTATTAGGAGTCTTAGATTCCTTCTAGATATTATCCTACTTGAGGATAAGTCATTTAGATAAGGTTTCCTAGATTTTAGATAGAGTCAAAGAGATCAAATACTCTTCTACTTTTACTCCTTGTGAGATAAGATTAGAGAGTCCTAATTGATCTTCTTCTTTAGGTGTTGGCCGAAATTTTAAAGCCTATAAATAGGGGGCTTGGCCGAAATTTCAAAGCACCCTTGAGTGGTCATTTTTGTTGTCTCTTTTGAGAGTTTTTCCTGTGAGGAATTTTTGTTAAATGGAGTGTCCATTTTTCGTGTCAAGTATGATTTAACCAAGAGGGTTTTCATCTTGTCTTGGATCTTTTTGATCTTGCAGAAACCGTTCTTTTTCAAGTATGATTCTTGATAGAATTGTTTTAAAACAAAACTTCTTATTTTCATACTACTTCTAATAGTTTGGTTGATGGGCCTTTCTTTTGGCTTGGTGTTCGAATTTCATAATGAGTGTGTTCATGAGTTCCATTGTGGGGTTTGTCCTACTTTTGTTGGATGAGTTGTGATTTGGCATAAGCATTTTGAGGTAGTGTATGTGTTGCATATCTTTGGTTGGTTATGAAGATTACTAATCAATAGTATTCCTTCATAGTTGAGCATTGTTTGCTCCTACCTTTCTTGAGTCTCTTGAATGATGACTGATCGAGTATATTGAATGCTGTCCTTGCTATTCTTAGCGTGGGTTGTTGTTTAATTCGAATCTTTCATGGATAA